CCCCCGCCACCTCCACCCTGTTCCTTTCTCCTATGACTTCCTCATCTTCTGTCCTTCCCTCTCCTTCTCTTCTGGGCATGAAGAGGATGAGTGGCTCAGATCCTCACCCCCATCTTCATCACTGTACCTAATAGGGTCCCAGCACACAGTAGATACAGAAAGAATAAGGAAATGCCCTCAGGCCGGGCACAGTGGCTCATGCCTCTAATCCTAGCACTCTGGGAGGCTAAGGGAGGAGGATCACTTGAAGTCAGGATTTTGAGACCAGCCTGAGCAGGAGCAAAACTCCGTCTTTACTTAAAAATAGAAAAACTGGCCAGGTGTTGTGGCAGGCACCTATAGTCCCAGCTTCATGGGAGGCTGGGATAAGAGGATCACTCGAGCCCAAGAGTTTGAGGTTGCTGTGAGCTATGATGGTACCAGGCACTCTACCCAGGGCAACAGAGCAAGAGTCTGTCTCAAAAAAAAAGAAAACAAATGCTCTCCTCAGTGTTAGCCCAACTCTCGCCCCCACTGAGCCTAGGGTAGAGCAGCCTGGTGCCTCAGCCTGGGCCTTTGAGGATGGGGATAAGTCCTTGGTCTGGTGGGCAGGCTAGCACCAGAGAGGAGTGGATGGTCACTCCAAGGTCTGACTCACTGGCCACCCATCCCTACAGCAACACACTCCCAACAACCAGGCAGCAGCTGTGAAATACAATGCAGAGGCAGAGGAGCCTCCCCCAGAGGCCTCGGGCACAGGTGCGGGCAGCTGAATCAGCAGCACCCATCCCTGCGCCTGGCTGTCACCTCAATGCACACCTTGTACAGGACGCAGGCCACACCTGCACAGAGGCGAGGGCCAGCACCATCGTGACCTAGAAATGGGACAGGGAGTCATGGGGAGGCTGCATGATTCCCTCAAGGCTCATGGGCCACCCCACCCCAGTCAGGGCCATCCTTCTGGGTCTGGGCAGACCTCACTTGAGGGGTGTGTAGCTCAGTGACAGTGATTATCTCACTCCTCAATCTCACGGCTACAGCCACTGGCAGCAGCAGCAGCAGTTTCTCAGATGAGAAATCATGGGAGACTGAATAGCAGAGTATTAGACCTCACCGAACCTCCTACCTAGCTGCACCCCTTGAAAGGAGGCTTATCTAAGCCTCAGCCTTCTCATCTACAAAATGCAATACACCCCACAGGGAAAATAAGGTGATGGCCAGAAGGAGCTCAGCGCAATGCCCACTATCCAGGGAGCACTCAATCATCATCAGCCGCCACCATCACCATTAGTGTCATCTTATTGTCATTAGAAGGAGAATTTCAAGATCTGAGTGCAGTTTGAAGCCAAATGATTGTCTTGCTAAAATGGTTTATCTGTCCTTGGATGTGATTAAATGTCCCCCACATTTCACAGGGACACTGTAATACCACTATCACTAAGGTGCACAGTGATACCGACCCTTCTGCACACACCTTCCCCTTCTTCACCCCAAAGAATCATGTGCTTCATCTGGAGACCAGGAGGGGGTCATTTTCTCTGGGGTGTTTAGGACTGGAAATCATTAACAAGGCTATATTCTCAAGGCCCTGGGCTGCTGGGTGGGGCCTGGGAGAAAGTGCCCAGGCTTTAGCCCCAAAGGGACTAAGTAGAAAAGGACTAACAAGGTAGTTTCTCAGGTTTGGAGGCTTTCTGTAAGATGATTCGGTTGACCTCTGCAGGGACAGTATGACTCAGAAGAAAAGCTGACTTCAGGGAGCTGGTGAGTCACAAGATGCTGTGTCCCACTGTCCCCAGACCAGCCCATGAGGCCAAGTCTAGCCTCTGGCTCAGCACTGCTCTCAGCAGGACCAGGGTGACAGGCAATTTATCCCTCCAGGCATAGCTGTAGTTCTTGTTCACAACTGCTAGAGTCTGCAAAGCCACCAGTTCACAGCCTGGCCCGTGCAAGGGGCAGCATCCATACAGCTATTGGTTGGGCTTGACAATCAGATATAAATCTGAGTTTGGTGGATGACCACAGGAAGGAGGCATTTGTGCAGCCAGTGCCCAGGTACTCCCTGCTCAGAATACCCCTTGCAATAGGTATATAACTTTGGAGGCAAGTTCAAGTGCAGTAGGATCCATGACCCTTAGATGGAGTGGGGTTTAGGTGGGTAGGAACAATGAGGGGCCAGCCAGCTGAATGTCAGCATGCACCAGGCAGCAGGAACTGACCTGGGGACAAACGCCATGGCCTTGAACCTACCATTCTCCATGTGGTTCCTCTCAATGAAGTTACGGCTCAGGTCCGCCTTGCACATCTTCTCGACGTGGCGCATGCACACATTGAGCAGGTCGTCCTTGAAGTTGCCCAGGGACTGTCCCAGGCCCTCCCCCTCCAGCAGGACATGATAGGTGGGAAGTGGCGGCGGGAGAGAGTAATTGCTCATCAATGCACCAAATTCCTACCGAGAAAGGAAAGAAGCCATTACCATTCTGGTCTTTATGAGCTATGGGGCCCCTTCTCTACGGGGGTTCTCATGTTCCAGCTGGTAGACTCAGCCCTGGGTGCCAGAAGAGCTGGATTCTAGTCCTAGCTCTGCTATTAACTAGCCCCACACTTTTCTTCACCAGACATTAGTTGCTTCTCTGTAAAGTGAAAAGATTCAGTTGAAATAACCTAGATGCCAACATCCCGATGGCACTAGCATTTGGATATGTGACTCCACAGTTCCCACCTCTAAACCAGGTCCATCATCTCTATATCATAGGAGATTATGAGAGGGACACAGCTGGGAGACTTTGGGAGTGAAAGCATTAAATAAATAAAAGGTATTACCACTGACTGCTGGGTCAATCATGGTGGCATTCCCACACTCAATCCTGCCTGGACACCTTTGCACTTCTTACTTCCCTTGCCCCTCAGTGGAGAATGCTTCCTCTTTCTCAAATCCTAACCAGCCTTCAAGACCCAGTTCTAACTCCTTCTCCTCCTCCTCCTAACAAAGCTATCTCAGTTTTCTCCAGCCTGCTTGTCCTTCTCTGAGCATCCACAGGCACTTATCTTCCAAGCCATATGCTTTATCATTTAATTACATACTTTTCCATATTGTTCTCTAATTGTACATGTCTTATCTTCCCAGCTGCATTGCAGTTGCTTGGGGGCAGAAACCATGTCTTTTACTTCTCTATTTGCCACAGCACCTATTAGAGTAGCGGGCACGCGGTAGCATCCAAAACACTGCAGCAGATGGAAGGATGAAAGAATGAATAGACAGACAGACAAGATCAAAGATAACAAGTATGCAGCAGACACATGCCGCTTCCCCTATGCCCAAAGCAGGCATCCTTAATCAATCACAGAACTCTCTCCCACTGAACCTGGAGCACTGCTAGTACATGTCAGCTGGAGTCAGTATAAGGTGATATTTGCATGCCACCTTGACAGTAAGGTAGGAAAATGGATTGTTTGGAAGAATTAAAAGGACATATGGAATGAAGCTGGAATGGATGGTTGTCTGGATGGTGGATGAATGTATAGGTGGTTAGACAAATGATGGATGAGCATCTGGGAAGATGGATGGGGGAGATGGAGAGATTGGGTGGTAGAGGAGTCGCTTTTACCTGCAGAAACAGCACCGAGTCGCTGATGCTGTGCAGCTGCTCCCGGGTCTGCTTGTCCTCATGCAGCACCTTGGCCCTCTCATCCAGAGCATCCACAATCACCTTCACCTGGTCCACAGCATCCTGCTCCCGCTGTTCCAGGGCAGCCCTCACCTCCTCCTTTTGCTTCTCCAGGTCCCGCACCAGGTCCCGGAAGTTCTGCTCCAGGATGGCCTTCTCATTGGTGGTGAAGCTCTGGGCCCAGAGTCAAGGGAAGGAGAAAGGAGAATTTAGTAATGAAAAAGTCTCCCTAGTGGGGTACATCTTTATGCTCCAGCACAGGGTCAGGGCATTCCTACTGTCCCAACCTGGGATGCCTATTTGGCTAAGAATCTCACTCAAAAGCACCACTGAGGAATGCCAGCTACTAACAGAGATGGCCGGGTTCTTTACAGCCCACCCTTCCTTATCCACCTGTGGCCTCTTCCCCTGCAAGGGTTGACATGAGCCATCACTCCACGGCTGAGTGACTCCCTGTGGGCCTGGAAGTTCTCCCATGAGTCAGGGTATGTCCCCAGAAACCCCAGCCAGAGCCAAGCATCATTCAGAAAACGAATGGCTGGCTGTTTATGCAGCAAAGGTCCAGAGTCAAAGATTTCAGACTGTGATTTACAACTATCCAAACCACAGCAGGCATACATTTAGCCACACTGGCATAAGTAGAGCAGAAACGACACGTGTTTGGTGGCTGGGTAGTCGACTAGGCAGAGTAGACACTGGAGGATATTGGAAGACACATCATAGGACAGAGCTGGGGTCTTTATTTGCTGGGATGATATAAAATGAAGCTAGATCCCATCTGAATGCCTGGCCCAGGCTAAAAAAGGCATTGGGTGGGAATACCAAATGAGATGAGAGAACCCAGCAAAAACAAGCATGGGACATCAATGTGGGCTGGAAACCTCAAATGGGAGCCTAGGCCTGCCTCCTCCCGGGAGCCAGGTGGGCTGAGGTACAGTCAGCTGAGGCTGCTCACCTTGATTCGGTCCTTCTCCTTCTGCCACTTCTCAGCTTCATCCTCAATCTCAATGATCTTGAGCTGCAGCTGCTCCTTTTGCAGTGACAGCTCTGTCTGTAGGGAAAGGGCCCAGATCAGAGAAGGAGATAAACAAGAACCAGAAACCCAGGGAGTGGATCCACCCAGGGAGCAAACTCTCAGACAGGGCTCATCACTCATCCCTCAGCCTTTCATTCAGCAAATATTTGTCAAGACCTCAGATCTGCCAGGCGCTGTGCCAGTCATCAAGGATCCAGCAATGAGTCAAACAGCACCTCACTGTACCCTCAGGCCACCAGGGCCAAACATCCTCGCCACGTCTTTATAAGGGCTAACCCTCTGCCTTGCTCCTCTATGCAACATAAGCAGGAGAAACACTTATTTATGGGGTTCTTGCTCCTTTCAGTAGACCAGGAGCCACTAGAGAGAGAAAGGGAAGGGGATCTGGCCAGGCTCAGCCCAGCCCAGGGAGTGTCTCATGACAGTAACAGTGTACACCGTTTCTACAGCATGACGTGGGGCCTGTGTTGCAAGCAGGAGCCAGGATTGCCGCTGGCAAGGACTCTGTCTGGGCAAGCTCAGCTATAAACCTGTTTATGAGAAAGGGAATGCATTCTGCAGTTTGGGCAAGACAGGGACTTTTACCCAGCGTCGCTGGGGAAGGAGAAGACTAGAGAATGAGGCCAAGGGTAGAGAGGCTGAGAAGGGGGGGCTCTGGGGACCTCTGCTCAGGGGAAGATGCAGACTGTCGGGGTCTGGGGTGAGGTGGGAAGAGGTGCTATCAGGAAGGTGCTAGGACTTTAGTTCTCATATCTCTACCTGCCTTCCACTCAGGGAAACGCCCTTCTCCAAAAATCAGTTGTAACAGAGATGAGAGGGGTGGCATGAAACTACAGCCAACCCCTTTCAATAAGCCAAGAGGCACCTCTTTTGTTCTGATCTCCCATCTAGGACATTCCAAGCCCCTTCCAGCTTGGAAGACAGCTGGGTGATCTCCACATGACAGGCAGGAAGACCAAGGCACCCAAGAAAGCCATGGATTGCTCACAATCTCACCACCACAACTGGGTTTTGAATGCAGAGCCCCACCCTTTTCTCTGGCTGTCTCCTGAGGAACCCAAAAGAATATCCAGGGTGAGGAAGCCACAAACCACTAGAAATGTGAGCTCCATCAGAAATGAGTCATGAGCCACTGGGCTTGGAGCTGCACCACACGGCACACCTCTGAATGCCCCACCAAGTGGAGGGTACCACCGGTGCCTGCTATAGGCACCCAGGGAAGTGGAGCTGATGTAGATAGAGCTTCCTGGGCTGTCTGGGAAAAGGAGCTCAGAGGGTGGGTCAATCATGAGGCAGGAGCCACAGAACTCCCCAGAGTCCTTGATCCCATGGTCTGCCCCATCACTACCACCATCATGCTCCTGGGCTCTCCAGGCAATGAGACTCTAACTTGTTCTAAGCAAGCATCACACCCATCCCCAGGCTGGAAATCCCATAGCATGAAAAATGCTGTCCCCAGAGATGGAAAAAGGCTGTCAAGAAGAGAGGACTCTAAAGAGATGAAGAAGGGGATTTGGCCTGTCTCTGGACAAGGCCGGGGGAAGTGGGCCAAGGACAGCAAAGAGAGGAAGACCCACTGCTGATGGCAGACCTGACCCTCACACGCTGATGATGCACGGCCTAGGGGCCCAGAAACAAAGGTTGGCAGGCCCAGCAGCCCCAAAGACCCTTGAGGAGCTGGATGTGGTAGATGGATCTGAGCTGCAAGGAAGAGGCTGGACAATGAGTCTGTCCCGGGCAACTTTCCCACCCCTGGAGAGCTCCCGAGTGAGGCCTGAGATCAAGGGGACAGTGGGAGGCCTTCGACCCACTGCAGCTGAGACCTCCTAATCTGGCTCAGGTATGGTGGGGTTGGCACCTCAGTTTCTTGCCCCACCTTACCACCCTAGAACAAGGCTTAATGAGGAGGAAAGCCGAGAAGTTCATTCCCTCCCTCCCTCAGGCCTGCCATGAATGGAGGAAAGGAAGCCTTCCATGAAATGAGCAATTGGGGGTCAGGAAAGAGCTCACCCCCAGCACAGGATGGGGAATCCAGACTTGAAAACTGGTGACCACCACCTGCAGACTGGTGGCCTTCACCAGCTCCTCCACATCTCATGCCTCCCTGGAGCTATCTGTTCTATGGAGGTGGTGAGAGGGCCATCCAGGGAGGCTGTGGGGTGGATTGGGATCAGGGAGGGAAGCTCCCAGAAGGAACTTGGCACTCAGTGAGCACCGACTGGACAGCAGTCCCATTGTCCATGGACCAGTACTGTGCTAGGTCCTTTTGCTAGCACCATGCCCAGAGGAGTGAGTGCAGAGTGGTGTCCAGGTCAGCTGGGCATAAGCAAGCTTGGAGAGCGGGCAGGTATGATCAGGTGAGGTTCTGACGGTGATCAGAGGTGAGGACTGTGTGTGTCATTGGCTTGGGATCCAGATGTAGTGTGTGTGTGCTGTCTCGACACAAGTGAAGAGAGAGAAGTGCATGGGGCATGGGGAGGTTAAGACTCCAGGCTGAGGTTGCAAAATAGAGCTCAGCTCATCACCAAGTGCAGAGTGGAGAAAGGTGGGGGGACCAGGTGGAGGTTGGAAAAGGGGTAAGGGTGGGCTAACCACCCACAAGTGGGAGAAGGCTTGACCAGAGGTGAAGGCCAAGGACCCAAATGCCTGGAGTGAGCAGAAGTGTGCAGGGGACCTGCTGAGTGCTGTATGTCTGGGGCCGCAGGTGAGGAAAGGTCTCCCCAGGTGAGCATGGATTTGCTGGCCAGGAGGGAGGAATGATGGATTGAGTGTGGGACTGCAGAATCCAGCCGGGCTCAGAACAATGACAGGTCTAGGTCAAGGGCAAAGGGAGGCCAGGCTCCTGGGAGTCCATCCTGTAAGCAAGGGAAGAGGGCAGCAGGGCTGGTTGAGGTATGGAGAGGGGAGCCAGAGGTGTTGGCAGGTGAGCCGGGAACCAGTGAGGGTTAGAAGTGGAGACGAGCTGTCTGCAGCAGTGGGCGGAAGAATCATCCAGGGTGGAAGAGAGACTCGGCCTCCCGTTTCTTTGGGGCACTAAGGAAATCAGACGCAGGCTGGGAAGGGGCCTTGCACGCCTCGCAAGACCAGACTTGCAGGACACAGCAGGCTCTTGGGAGGGACATTGGGCTGGGAACTCCATACAGCTCCAGGTTGAATCCTACCCTGCAGAGGCGGGTTGTTTGGGGTGAGACCTCTAGGGATGCTGTACAGGAAGTACTAGACCATGAGAAAACTTTGGGCTGTTCTTTAGCACTTGGAGGAGAGAATGTAACTTGGGTCACTGAGCATCGACCATGGGCAGAAATTTTCTCCTTTAATCTGCAAAGCCCCCTGTGGAGGTAAGCAGCATTATCCCCACTTTGCAGATGTGGAAACCAAGGCCTTGGGAAACCACATAGCCTGTCTGAGTTCGCACGTTTAGAAAGCAATGGGGCCAAGTTGCAACTACAGGACTCAGAAGCAATTCCAAGGCCTGAAGAGCAGTGACTCTAGACCAGCCTCTGTGTTTTCTGAGAGATTGCTACTCCCTCCCCTTCATGCCTGCTAACCCCTCTCAGGCTCTCTCTCTACCTCGCAGGTGGCACTATTTCTCCTCTTTCCTGTGGCCCCCCTTTTCCTCCCAGTGCCCTCTCCATGGCCTCCCAGTTTCCTACCCCCCTTTTCCCTCCTCCCTTGGAATGTGGTTGGAGCCCCTGATGTGTGACAAGGCCTCAGCTCCCCACGGCCCCACCCCTGCCCGCACCTCCCTCCTGACGTCCTCCTGCTTCCTGCTCATTCCCTCACTCTGCCCAGGCCTGTCCTTCAATGCCTCCTTTGTTTCCATCTCCCATACTGGTCTGGTGATGCTGGGGATGGGCCCTGCCTAGGCCACTCAGCCATGAAATTCTTCAGCTTTGGGTGACCAGAAATTTCTCTGAAAGCAGACGGTGGCACAGCAGCTGGCCTTGCCTTCGCCTGGACAGGACCTCAGACACAGAAACACCTGAGCACTCACCTGGACAGATGCACCTGCATTGCCTCCAGGGAAGAGGAGATGGGCCCTGATCTTCCCCTGGCCTGGATTAACCACATGGGCTGTCAGCTGTGACATTTGCCAAATGAGCCAGTTAATTGCCGAATTTGTACTCTCAGACAAATGGTAATTATCTGGATAAGAATCTGAAATGCTGGATAGATTTCCCCATTTCCACCCAGATGTCAAACAGTCTGGTGTCAGTTAGTCTGTTCCACTAGGGTTTACTGCTCCTTCTGCTTCCTCACAGCCTCTGACCAGGGGAGGGTGAGATTAAAGAGGAAAGCATCCCCCGGGCTGTCTCCAGACCAGGAGCCACCGCCCCTCCCTGGGCTTTTGTTTCCTCATGATGAAATTGGACTAGATTTAAGATTCCCACCTAGCTACACGTTAGAATCCCCAAGGAAGGCCAGGCACGGTGGCTCATGCCTATGATCCCATCACTCTGGGAGCTCAAGGCAGGCAGATTGCCTGAGTTTGGGAGTTTGAGACCAACCTGAGCTAGAGCAAGACCCTGTCTCTAAATATAGCTGGGCATTGTGGCGGGTGCCTGTAGTCCCAGCTACTTGGGAGGTTGAGGCAAAAGGATCATTTGAGCCCAAGAGTCTGAGGTTGCTGTGAGCAATCCTACAGAAACAGAAAGGTTTAAAATGGTGGAGAAGACTCCCAGCTATACCACTCTCCAGTACTGTAACTTGTATAACTCTCTTGGCATCTGTGAGCCTGTTTCTTCACCTGTAAAATCAGGTGCAGTCACCCTCAGCCCATAGGACTGCTGTCAGGAGTGACCACGCAAGTGCCAAGCCTACACCTGGGCCACAGGTGTGCTCTGGGCTACTCCCACCTGCCACCTTCCTCCCCTGCTTCCTGTCTCCAAATCTCTTTTAGTTTCCCTCTCAGCACCCAGAAAGGTCACCCCATCTCCTCTCTCACCCACCCTGTTGTATAGTCCCCTCCAGGGCACCTCTGGCCTTTAGCCTACCCTCCTTCCCAAACCCCAGTCACTGCTGCCTGCCCAAAGAGTGTTCCCACCCAGAACAACACAGCTCAGAAACCCCAGAACTAGAGGCTGCCCGTGCCCAGCAGCCTGCTGGCTCAGCCTCATGAAAGAATTGGGCCATTAAATGAAAAGCAACACCATGGAGCATGGTGAGAAAAGCGAACTAAACCCCATGATGGGGTTGAGAAGGAGGATGAGGCACTGTGGCTGAGACCCTCGGGGCAACACTCGAGGCTGAGTGTCCTTCACATTTGCCTTGTCATGCTATCACCCTAGAGCCCAGGCCAGACCCAGGACAGGGCAGGGCCACCCCAGGGCAGACAGCTATCCTCCTGAGAGGGGTCCTAATATCCTGGGGCACTACAACAGGAGAGGCTTGGGCTGGACAGAAAGAAGGGCCAGGAGATACTGAACGGCTGTACACAAACAGTTTAATCTCACCCGCCTAACCTAGCCTGGGAAATGTCCAGCGGCAGGAGGGTTGACAGGAGGACATCTGGGGAAGCTCTTGTGACACCTGAGTAGAACTGGAAACATTCTGACCCAGGGGCCACCAGAAGAAGGAATGATCGTGTTGCTACACCAAATAATGACCTTTTTCTAACATGGATTCTGCCTGGAGTCTGTAGTTCCTGCTGAGGCCCAGGAGATGAGCACCACAGCCATGGGTGTCATCCACAGCCCCATGCAACCAACCGAGACAGATCTGAGGTGACCTCAGCAGGCCTTCACCAGCAGGCCCGCAGAACAGGTTCTGCGTGGGTCTCCTTGCAAAAAGCCATGTGTGGGTTGATGTTTGGGTCTGCAGGAGATGCCTCCAGAGGATGCCAGGACTGGCAAGGCTTGTCCATATTGGCTATCGACCCACTAACCCTGCTCTGTGCCGAGGTCCCCCACATCTGACATTCTGGCAGAGCCAGGCCTAGACCAACTGCTCAGACCCAGCACAGAGCTTTGGCTGAGTGGCCCTGCTCCTCCCTGCCTATCCTGATGCCACAGGTATGAGTGCCCGCATATGCACTGGGTACCTGACTCTCACCATTAAAGTCACCCTGGTGGATCAGCATTTTTTCCTAAAACACACGTATCCCAAATCCCCCTTCCATGGGGCCCTTTCCCTAATGTGCTCTCAAACATTGGAAGAGGACTTAGGGAGCTTCTTGTTCAAACAAGAACCTTGAACAGGCCCCTTCCTTCCTCTAGGCCTGTGCCCCATCTGCGAGGTGCGGGAGGGCTGCCAATGCCCCACCAGGCGGGGCCTCTCATCCCCCAGGACTGGCTTATTCATGGCTGCTTCTGTGGAACTGGCAGGTGCTCCCAGGCTTGTTTGTGCACCTGAGTTCTGCCTCCTGACCTACATCATGGGTCCTGAAGGGCAAGACTGTGTCTGTGAGTCCTACAGCAGCTTCCATACCAGAACGTGAACTCTGAGCTCCTGCTGCCTCCAGACAGGGCTGCCTAGGACCCTCCTGCCCACCAGAACCACCTCTTCCAGGGGCATTTGAGCTTTTCTTAAGTGGAGATATCCTTGATTCAGATAAAATTTGGAGCCAAATGCTACATAGAACACAGATCAATAAAAGCGTGCCTTGTTGTAGTCAAGCAACACTGGAGCCTCTGCCCTCTTGATACCTCTTTGCCCCCTGCCCCACCCTTAGGCCTAAAAGGTATTTCCAAGAATCTTGGGGCTCTGTGTGATAATTTGAAAACCAACCATCTAGCCCCCCATCCCTTGGTTTCACATATAGGGAAACTGAGGCTGAGAGACTAGAAGAGACTTATCCATAATCTTACAGCTAGTTAGAAGCAAATACCCAGACTCGAACTTTATCACATGCCCTAAAACCCGTTCTGAGGCTCTGTAAGTTACTGACTGCCATGGATGAAGGTGGTTACCTCTTGGTCTGTTTTGACTTCCCAAGTAAGCTCCCTAGGAGTGGATTTCACAGGTCTGCCCAGTCTCTATCTCCCAGTAGGAAGCTTGAAGCTGGGCAGGAGTGGGAGGTTGGAAGAAGCTAGGAACACCTCCCCGGCCAAATGATTCTTCGGGAAAGATTCTGTTTCTATCTCTAACTTATCCCTCACCACCCAGGGTTGTGGGCAAAAGGTGCCCGGAAAGAGTCATCAACAAGTTCATGTTCAGAAAGCCTGTGTAAGGGGACCCCTGTGCTGCCCCGTTCTGAAGGGTGCAGAAGCCCTTGAAGAAAGCCGAGTCCCCTGCACTGGTGGTCCGGAAGGTTTGCCTCAGGGCGGTGGCTCACAGCAGAGAGCTGTGTTGCTGCAGGGGCCAGTGGACCTAGCATCTGTGGGACAAAGGGCAGCAGCCACAGCTGGGCCCTTAGCCCAAATCACCCTCCCCAGGGCGCTACATCCACAAGCCTCCATTTGCCTCTGCTCCTCCCAGTAGAAGCACAGGCAGAATGACTTGACTCACAACTCAGCAAACACACTTACCTATCACATACGCAGATGTATACAAACATCCACAGACGCACAGAAGATGCACACATACACAGATGCTCCTCAGCTTACAATGGGGGTTACTTCCCGATAATCCCATCATAAACTGAAAATGTCATTAATACACCTCACCTACCAAACATCACAGCTTAGCCTACCTTCAACAGGCTCAGAACATGTATGTTAGTCTAGGCTTAGCAAATTAATCTCCTACAAAGCCCATTTTATAACAAAGCGCTGACTATCTCATGTAACTTACTGGATAACTGTACTGTACTCAAAACGTATTGTGTTCACACCATCGTCGGTCGAGTACTGTCTGTACGTTTCTGCCCCATCCACACACCAACTCCCACCCTCACCATTGGTGTCCATCTGCAGGCATAGGCACGTCTGTGCAATCACGCATGCGACGCACACAGCCCAGCTGAGCAAGGACAAAGGAGGCCGTGAGGGGCTGGATCCAACAAGCAGCCGCTGTACCCAAACGCGAACTGCAAAGCCAGCAAAAAGCACATTACTGTGGCCCCCCAAATTCCCTCCTTCTGGTATTTCCCCTCCCCCACAAGCCATCTCCCTGGGGCCCGTCCTGCTCAGGTAGGAAGAATTCTCTCTCCCTTAAAGGAAAAAAAAAGAAGTGACACCCCAGGCAAGCGCAGAGCCCAGGAGGAAGTTGTGCACCGTTGGGTCTTATGCCCTGATGTCAATTAAACTTAGCCCACGACTTGGTCAACCCCACCATCTTTTCTGAGCCTCTATTAGCTCATCTAAGAAATGAGACTGTAGGAGACTGAGGAGCCACCTCTGACCCCCAATCTGGAAGACAGGGGGAGAACGTTTTCTGAGAGAGTCGTGGGTAGCAGAGACATCAGCCCCCCACACACACGCACTAGGGAAGCCCCACAGAGGCGAGCAAGGTGGAGGGGGTGGGTGAGGGAGGAGAGGCTGGGGGCGGCTCGGGGTCCCAGCGGGTCACCTCCTTCTCGGCCTTGGCCTCCTCCACGGTGACGGTGCTGTGATTCTTGTGCTCCTGGAACATGCAGAGGTAGCAGATGCAGGTCTGGTCCGTCTGGCAGAAGAGCTCCATGGTCTTCCCGTGCAGGGGGCACTTGCGGGCCTCGAAGTCCCGGATGGGCTCGAGCAGCTGGTGGTCCCGGAAGGCGGCGCCCTCCAGGTGGGGCTTGAGGTGCAGCTCGCAGAAGGAGGCCTGGCACACCAGGCAGGACTTGACGGCCTTCTGCTTGTTGCCGATGCAGGAGTCACACAGCACCTCCTCGGAGCCCGACTTGGAGCGCGGGAAGAAGCCCGAGTCCGGCCGGGGGTAGCTGTTCCGCCGGACCTCCCCGGGCTCCACGATGGACACCGTGGGCTTGCGGGGCTCCGAGAAGATGGACTTGCGCAGCTCCCCCTTGTCGGCGAAGGAGACTGGCTGCTTCTTGGAGGCCCCCAGCTGGAGCCCCGCGTACGGTGACCTCTTGCCTTCCGCCGAGTCCATGCTGAAGTAGTTGGAGCTCTTTTCGTCCATGGACTCAACAAACTGGATAATGGGCCGCCGCCACTCGTTGCCCGAGAACAGGGCGCTCTTCCCTTCCCCTGCCTTCAGGGTGGGACCCAGGCTCTTGCCCTCGGCTGTGTCCGGGCCGTGCCCGTTGGTGGTCTTGGCATCCTTGCCATCGGCCTTGGTGCCATTCTCCAGGGTGCCGTTGGGGCCCGATGGGCTCCGGGCATCCCTGGCTTCTGGGCTGGACCCGTTGCTCCTGGAGGCATCTGCAGCGTCCATTGCGGGTCGCTTGGCGGGTCTGCTTTGGGTTCACTGGGGCTACAGGGTGGGTGACCTCTCCAGCGGGCGTCTTGGCAGGGAGTGGGGCAGGCAGCCACAGGGCCCAGAGACACACCTGTGGGAGACGTGGGGGGAGGAGGGAGGAGGGTGGCGGAGGGGAGGAGCAGGCACAAGCCTGACACAACGGGCCGGGAGAATCAGGCGGCTCCAACAGCCGGCAGAGCAGCTAATTACACAGGGAGCCACGCCCTGCACATTCGTGCCTAACCTGATTTTTAAAAGAAGTATTTTTTTTCTCCCCCAGCTTAATTATTTTCCACAACTCAGCAACCAGTCGGGCTACTTCTATCTGATGTGCTTGCTCCTGGTCAGGGAAGTGGGGGCCTCCATCCTCACAGGTGGGCAGGCTTGAGCTGAGTGGCCCAGGGGCAGGAGGTGAGGTGTCCACAGAGGCCCAGGGGACTGAGGACTATTAATTGGGTCACACAAGCCAAATAGCCTTGTAATTTGAGGCCTGGATTTCAGAGGACAGATTCTCCACCCTGGGACAGGCAGCTGCTTCTCACTTTAAAAGGAAGGTGGGGGTTAGTTTGATTTGGATTTTAGGACTTGGTGACATGGCTGCTTGCCAACTCCCAGGCACACTCCTGATACTTTATATATATGAGCTCATTTGAGCCTCGCTATAACCTGTTCAATTATGCCTTTTTAATAAATGAGAAAACTGAAGCTCTAGGTAAGGGAACTCACTGGCCTAAGTCAAGTGGTCAAGCTGGTATTTGAACCCAAAGGCTTTGAGGTTCCAAAGTCCCTTCTTCAGCTAGGGTGTCATAAAGCCACCCAAACTTTTCACCAGAAGGCTTCTGAAAGTCTTTCCTACCCTAGTGGTCCTAACAAGATGCACGTAGATCTCGTTTATATCAGAGCCAGTCAGGACATGCCTAGATCCAAAGGACAAGGGGACTCCAAGCAATGCCGGCCAGGGAGACTCGCACCTGTCCTCACAGTTGGTTTGCTGTGTGACTCAGAAAACATCTCCCTGTCCTCTCTGGACCAGGTCATAGGTAATACCATCCAAAAAGAGGCCAGTGAGGTTTGGGACTCCCAATCTCAGAAGTAAGCGGTTCACATGTGACTATCATGTAAACACAGACCTCGGGAAGGAGAGCAAGAAAAACAACTGCATCCTCCCCCCTCCCTGATTCTTTGCAGGAACACTGGGGACCCTCAGCTCTTGTAGGACATGCCCAGCAAGTACTTCTGGACTGTGGGACTGTGACCCCCGGGCCAGGTCCCGGGAAGCCAGCACTCCCCAACTGGGTAAAGGCCTGTGCCTCTCCCACACCAGGCTGGACAGGGCAGAGCAGACAGAGAGTAAAGCTGGTGTGGCAGCTTCTGGGCTGTGCAGAGGGGAGTGGGTTTCAGGCTAGGTCAAACTTTGCAAGCCCCTGCCCCTTTGGCTCGCCAGGCTGAACAGCTAATCCTTTGCAATAACAGCCCCTGGGAACAGAGACAAGCCTGGCTCATAAAGCAGCTGAGTTTTAAGAGGAGGTGTGTGGGGGTGGTGTTGGGTGTGGAGAATGCTGACTTGGAGATGGGGATTCCCCTCTCACCTGAGGCCCCAGAAGGCCCAGGGATCCCCATCTCAAAAAGCCTATTTCACTAGGCTTTTGCCTGAGAACTGAGGGGGATAGGAGAGGGAGAGAGAGAAGCACTGTCCTGGTCTGCTGGATGGGAACATGCCACTCTCTCTTTCTCTTTCACCCTGGGAGGACAAGAAGGAGCAGGAGAAGGAACCACAGGGCTCTGGCTACAGTTCCGACATCCATCCATGCTGGCTCCATGCTCCTCATTGAGTTCCTGCACCTACCCTCCAGAAATCTGGGGAAAGATTCTGAACCTTAGGCATAGGCTGACACAGAACAGATGCTCCGAAGGCATTTGTGGGTGAGTGGAAGAACAGATGGGTGAATGAACAGATGGATGGATGGATGGAACAAAAAGGAAAATGGATGAATAGATGGCTAAGAGATGTGTTGATACTGGATAGGTGGGTGGAGAGATGATGGATGGATGGATGGATGACTGAACAGTCAGAGAATTGGATAAAAGAATTGAAAAGAGAAGGAAGGAAGAAAGGGGGGAAGGAGAGGAAAGAGAAGAGGAAGGAAGGAAGGAAATGGATAAGCAGTGAGTAGGTGAGTGGGTGGATTGCAGGTGTGTGCTGATAAAAGTTTAGCAACTGGCTCTTTCAAGGTGAAAAAGCACTGGTTTGTAGTATTTGCCAATTTCTCCCACCCTATCACCAATGTGAAGCGTGCTGGGAAGAGAACACACAGTTCTCCAGAGCCAGCAGGAGCCTGTTCTAACACATCTCAGATGACCCAGATGGAAGCATAGATTGTAAGGGGGAGGACACAAAGAGGGGTGCTGGAGAGTGCCACGCTCAACTGTCCTACAGAAAGAAAATAGAGGTGCAAGTGCTTCAAGGCGAAAGGGAAGAGGAGGCCAATTTCTGTCTTCCAGGAGGCTTTCCTTCCAACCCAAGCCCATGGGAACACTGCCAACCCCCAGCTCCTGTAACTTCTCTGTCCTGCTCAGAAGACATTTAGCTCAGACCATCGGATGTTGTTAATTATTCATTTCTTCGCACGTATTTATTGAACAACCTACTGTGGGCCGGGCACTAAGTCAGGGACTGAACATCTAGATGTGAATGAGTCCCAGATCTTGTCACTGGGGAGCCCACAGTCCCATGCGAGAGATCAGTTAGTAAATCATTTGACTTTGGCATGAACAGTGAAGGAGAGAAGTATGTGTGAGTGGCTCAGGCTGCCCAGAGGAGGGAGAGCCCAGGGCATGGTGAGGGAGGCCGTCTCTCCAACCAGGCAGAGCAGGGCTCCCTCTCCCCGTGTGCAGGAGCGTCCTCCCTGGCCAGGCAGAGATGGTGTTTGACTTGTCTCAGCCCGTATTTATTCAGCGGGATTCTCAGTGGGTGTTGTTGGACTGGTCTCTTGGTTCTCCTGGGCCAGGGTACAGGCCCGTCCTTCCCTGAGGGGCTGCTCCATTTGGATGCCTGGTGGGGAGCAGAGTCTCCTTGGGATTCCCACAATCCAAGGGCCAAAGTGACCTTCTTAGGGGAAGAAAGAAAATGATACAATTGTCCTTCCTTCCCCAGCTGGCCCAAGCCCTATCTCACCAGTATCCCTGCTGGAGCTCAACCTGAATGGTGAGGATGTCCACCCCTCCAGTGGACACTGAGGGCCATCTGTGGGAAGAGGTCCCCAGGTCCCTACCACTTGTGCCCCTAAGGGCCTGACTTCACGCAACCCAATCTGCTGGGGTCCTGACCCCCTCCAGCCCCAAATCTGCTTGCTGAAGTTCCATAAAAGAGCATTTCCTGATGGCCCTTGGAATCTACGTCATAGGCAAGTGGGCAAAAAGCACCCATAGGCCATGATATTCACCATTATGGCTGAGGAAGGGCCCTGAAACAGAAGGCCGTTTTTATTTTTAAAGGCCTGACAAAGAAGAGATCTCGTGAACCTCCTTAGTCACTCTTCCTCCACCTTACCCTGTTCTCCTTCTGGTCTAGCTTAAAGCCTTCCTGCTGCATCATTTCTCCCTATCCCAGATGGTG